CACCAACCACTCTTCGGAAGGAAGGTTGGGCAATCTACTTCCATAGTGATACTGCCTCGGCAACCCAAGGAGGGGTCGCTATGAGTCAGGTCTGACTTGATGGCACATAACAACAACAACAACAAAGCCTACCTAATGTTGCAGAAATGGAGGCAGTCTGGAATCCCAGAAGAACATACCCTTTCAATTCAAATCCTGACTCTTGGGGAGGACGGTGTCCTACTAACAGACCACACACCAGATTCCTCTTTCAATAGATTTTGAGAAACTCAGTGAAACAGATAAAAATCATGATCCCAGAATTATGAGTATCTCATGAGAAGATAAAGCATTAAATCAAGTGAAGACAGCAAAGGATGCAGGTTCAGTGACTTGGGGGTAGGGGGTGTGGCAATGGCCAGTCAAAGAGTAGCCGGTCATTAGAAACACAAAGGAGGTCAAGGAGGAGGGGGGAACTTCATGAATAGATTGGGAAGATTTCAAGAAAATGAGCTAAAAGCGGTATGTGTAGGAGAAGATCAAATTGGGACAAGGATCAGACCAACGCATAGCTTAAGCTATCTCCAAGTCCCAAAGGGAGTAAGGGACAGGGAAGAAAAACTCTTCCGAATAAACCAAACCCCAAATTAGACCCACAGCAGTGGGCTCAAGTCCAACTCTGAGCAATCCTTTTTAGTACAAAGCAGAGCTGAGACCTGGGGTCTAGGGGGCTGCAGATGTTTGAGGAGGAGGGCTGCCCTTTCTCCTGCAGGGCGGCTGCTGGGTTTGACCTTCAGGGCTTTGACTGATGGCTGAACACCACCATCAGCAAACCACTCCAGGCAGACCCAGGGGTTGCAGCCGTCCTTCTCCCACACCTGCATCACTGGCTGATCTATCTCACATTAAGCACAAAAAAACAAATTTCAGCTTTCTCTCCTGGAGGTCACTTCTTGCGCCAATCTCCCTTCTCTTATGTGGGTATGCATGCCAATGAATGAGCAGATTCTGCCACAACTGCAAGCCCCCAAGGCCACCGGCTGGACATAACTAGAACAATTCCTCCTCAATTACCTTGTCCTCCCTTCACTTTCCTACTTTCCTCTTCCCCAATTTTTCTTCCTTTCTATCTGATCATTTAGCCCTCTACCTCTTCATCTTCTTTTCATCTTTATCAAACCTTCACCCCTCTCAGCCTCCCACTTTTCATTTCTCTCTTTTTCTTATATTCTTTTTCCTTTCTCCCTATTTCTTATCATCTATTTTTATTCTATCTTTTCATCTGTCCTTCTTCTCCTTGGCTTTTTTTTTTTTTCCTGCCTCATCCAACAGGAGAAACACATTAACCTTCCATTAGCAGCTATATCTACTATACCAACTGTGGTAGTTAAAGTTGTATGTCAACTTGGTTGGGCCTGGTTGAGTAGCTGGGCAGCTTGTGGTAGTTATTTTCCATGACGAGACTGGCAATCAACTTCATGGAGAGATCTACCACAAGAAGCTGAGTAGCTGCTTTGAGTATGTGGTCTGCTTCCTGTATGTAGGAAGCAGCAGCTTTGGGAATGGTTCTAGCTTATGGTACGCTTGCACCTTACATGCAGCCATGTCGTTGTTCAGCAGCCTGCCATGCTTTGCTGACCTTAAGACTTAAAATGGACTTAAATTAATGGCCTGCCAGGTGGTTTGGTAACATCAGGACTGTGCCTTTTCACTTGTCAACCTTGGGCTTGTCAGTGTCAGTAGCCAGCAGCTGTCTGAGTAAAGAAAAGATTCTGGCTCCAGTGGGCCGGGAGCAGGAAACAGAGCTGAAGCCCAAGGTTGAGAGGCTTTCACCCAGCCCCTAGAGCTTGGCACTTTGAACTCGTACTTAAAGCCTCCAAACTGTAAGTTCCTGTTTGTTCAAGCATCCCATCTGTGGTATATTCTTGTCAGAATGGCACTAGGTAACCAGAACACTAACCACCTCACCCAACAAACGAGTAACGTGCCAATAGCTCCTGCACCACAAGATCAGTAACAGACAGTGGACAACACCTGGTCGTCCCAACTGCAACTCCTCCTCATGGCAAACAAAGAACTGCACCCACATCCCCTCCAGTTACTCTACCAACACAGAGGAAGCTGGAGAATGACCCAGTACAGACAAGCTAACAACCAAAGAAGTATAGCTGCTCCACACTTCCAGATACATCAAAACAACCAAACCAAAAAAAACCAAACTCACTGTCATCCAGTTGGATCCAACTCATAACAACCCCTCCTTGAGTTTCTGAGGTGGTATCACTTCAGAAGTAGATTGCCCACCCTCCTTCCGAGGAGTGGCTGGTGGGTTTGAACTGCCAGCCTTCTGGTTAGCAGTCAAATGCCTTAGGCACTACACCACCAGAGCTCCTATATCGAAACAAAGTAAAACAGAAACTAGAGTGAAACTAATCAGCACATAACCAACAAATAAAGACGACAACTTCAAAGTGTCTAGGAAACAACAAACAACTTCAAATAAAAAATAAAATAAAATAAGGGCAAGCCAGTAAAAACAATTATGCAAACTAAAGAATTAGGAAATCTCCCTGAGCAAGATCAAAGCTTGACTCTTCCATTACCAACTGGGTGACAGTAGACAAGTAAGTAATATTGGCCTCATTAAGTTCCTAATCTAAAACTAGGATAATATCACCTATGTCTACAGGTGGTGAGTTAACCGATGACTTATGTAACAAGCCCACACATCATAGATGCTCTAGAAATATTAATTCCCTTCTTCCCAGCAAGAACTCCTCTCCATCATCCTTTCCAGCATTCTCAATATAAAGGCTCCCCTTAGGTAAAGCATGACGTTTAGAAGCATGTTTCTGAATTTCTCCACCTCATTGCCTGAATTATCATATATAACCTGCTTCTGGCTCATAATCTCCCACTTCCGCTTTCATTATAACTTTGCAATAGTACTACTCTGCTAAGCAAGGCAGTCAGAGATACAGCAGGCATGGCAGAACAATATTGCTCTTTCCTGGGGCATGAGCATGTAATGGCAATTATCTTAAGAATCAGTCACAGAAGCCTGTATGGGTGCAACAGCTGGCTCCATGTTCATTAACTCACTCCAATTCAAGGCATGTGCAACTTCACAAATGATTTACATGTCTAAATAGATTTCATCCCAGATTAATCTAGGTAATTGGCAAATGTCACCGGTTAACTTTCAGAACTTATACTCTGAAAAAATGGAAAACCAGAATGAATTTCAGGTAAAAACAATGAAGGAAATGGTTGTTTTCCTAATGAGTCACCAGTATGCTTAAGAGAAACTTAGAGAAAATAATTTTTAATGGAGGAACTTTTTTGTCTTATGTACTCTACCTTTTAAAGGGGGCTGCATAATTTAGTCTTAATATTGAAGTGCAATGTGTTTTTATAGCCAATGCTTTGCAGTGGGTTCCCAGAGTACCCATCTTCTTTCCAGGGATTCATAAAGCCTCATGGAACTCAATGGAAGGTACTCAGTTTAAGGTCACAACAGAGCAGATTGGAAGTTACTCATCCAAAGGATCTTTTAGAAGTGTTCTAGCTAAATCTTGATTGGATTACAAGCAATTAAAATCTCCCAAGAGAAATAATCACTTACTAAACAATCCTCACAGGAGCTCTGGTGGTACAGGGGTTAAAGCATTCGGCTGCAAACCAAAAGGCCAGCAATTTGAACCCACTAGCTGCTCCACAGGAGAAAGATGAGAAAGTCTGCTTCTGTAAAGATTTACAGCTTTGGGAACTCTACAGAGCAGTTCTACTCTATTCTATAGGGTTTCTGTGAATTGGAATCAATTCAATGACAGTGAGTTCTTTTCGGTTAAAGAATCCCCAAGGAAGTGTGGCATATGGAACCAAAGACAGAGTTTCCACTGGTTGTGCTAAACACTCTAGTCCTGGAATAAGCTGAGATAACCCAAGACCCTAATTAAAAACTGGATCAGCAAAACCAAAAACACCACCTAACAGACAGGCAACCAAATGTCAAGATGATAATCTTCATATCTAAAAGCAATAGATTTGCTGATGAAACTCCATGGGGAACCTAGATTCTAAACATACAGCACTGTCTATCCTTAACCTTTGGAGCTCATGACCACCCATCACCCTGCTCTGCTGCCCTTCTCAGCAGCTTAACCAAAGTTTTTGCTCAAAACCAAGTGTTTAGTGACCCTAAGATGCCCTCACTAAATGTGTTGTAATAACATTCCTTATTTTCTCTAGAGGAGTTTTTAAAAAGAGAATATTAAGGGTCTATACCTGCTATTTCATCTTTCAATCCCTCTCAGATTCTTAGCACTTAGGTAGGGCTCTCTGAAGATAATTCAACAATTCCTTTTTTCTGGACTTGTGTGACTTCATTTCTCCTTAGCTTTCTCCTATTCCCTTAGTTTTGGTACATCCTCTCTACTTCCAGCAATAAAACAGCTAAGAGTACAGCAAGAAGAAGGGAAGTGAGAGCAGAGAGACATATATTTTCCCTTGGATTATCATAAAATAGCACTGAAATGCGAGCAAAAAAAAGCAGAGGAAGAATAGGCTTGCATTGTAAGAGTTAATCTGAGATGTCAGGAAATTAAGAGCACAATTTTGCCCATGGGCCCTTAACTCTGATTAAAGATCAGATAAACTCTGCCACTAATCTTAGTACACACCACCTTCAAGAAGTTTCAGCCCAGAGCAACTGTTTCACCAGATTCTGTAAGAGAAGTACTACATTATCCTCTGGCCATCTTCCCAGATGTACAATAGAAATTAAAAGATTTTCTTACGGGAAAAAAAAAAAAAATCATTGCAACAAAAGACTGCTCTGGGGTGCTCTATGGGGCCAGGAAGAACTGCTGTAAGTTTATTAGAACAACACAATCACAGGTAGACCCATCACTCCAACAAACAAGTGAGTATGTTCCTATCAGCAAGTCCAAAAGACTTTCACTGGATTCACTCATCCTCCTCAAACTCCTCCCCCTTCAGAGTTGACATGTTCCCGTTACCTGTACAAATGACGATTGTCTTCAAAATCTTCCTGGCCCCATTTTCCCTTGATGTCTTCAATAACATGATTCTTCAGGAATTTTTTTAACAGCTGGACTGTTTGTTTGCGGGTCACTTCAGGGCCAAAGTTTTGACTGCATCTCAGTAGCTCATGTAGCCAATCCACAGCTTCCGCCGCTGTGAAGCAATGTTCATAACTTTTGAAGCGACAACGGTGTTTCCGTAATGGCATCCTAGCACGAAAAAGCTCAACTGTTTCATTCCACTAGGGGAAAAAAGAGAAAAATGCATTTAGTAGTCAATGATTTTTTTTTTCAAGTTACTATGTCCCAAATATTTAAGGCAATGAATTAAATTAAAACACTGCCTTAATAACAAATGGGACCTTAAAAGTTTTCACTGATAGTCTTCAAACTCTATAGAAAATGCAAATTTCTAGAGGTAGTTAGTTCATCACTTACTCACTCAAGAAATACTGGGGATACTGCTATCAACTTGTGCTATTATATGAATTTAATAGATTTAAAGTAAATGAAAAACACATGATCATAATTAATGGTAAAACTAGGCCCAATATTCATAATTTACCTCTTAGAGTTCTTATTTTTCTAAGCATTGAATTTGGTTTTGGTTTACTGGCATTATTTTTAATATGACTTGACTTCAGTCAGCAAACATTATTAGGTAAAAGGCACGTCCTGAAAGACAGCAGACAAGAGATACATAAGATAAAGTGCCAAGGGGAGCTCTGGTAGCATAGTGCCTAAGGCACTTGACTGCTAACCAGAAGGCTGGTGGTTCAAACCCACCAGCCACTCCTCGGAAGGAAGGTTGGGCAATCTACTTCCGTAGTGATACTGCCTTGGAAACCCAAGGAGGGGTTGCTATGAGTTGGGTCCGACTCAACGGCATATAACAACAACAACAACAATGTCCAAGAGCTCATCATAAAGACAAACCTTTTAAAAGTAAATAGCCAGTCAGCTATATATATTCTCAACAACAAAAACATAAATTTTGAGGAAAAAAAGGGGGGGCAATGAACAAGAAAAGGGAAAAAAGTAAATAATCAGTTTTTGCTTGTATGCAATGCAAAGCTGCTTAAAAGAATGGCTACTAGAGATTTGGGAGCTCTGGCAGCATAGTGCCTAAGGCACTTGACTGCTAATCAGAAGGCGGGTAGTTCAAACTCACCAGCCACTCATCGGAAGGAAGATGGGGCAATCTACTTCCATAGTGATACTGCCTCAGAAACCCAAGGAGAGGTCACTATGAGTCAGGTCCGCCTCGATGGCACATAACAACAACAACTAGAGATTTAAATAATATATGCTGTTATGGTTAGGAGGCTATTCAAAAATACCATGCAGAAGCAGTGCACTAAGTAGTTAGGGCTCATATGAAAGTCAAACATCACATAGTTCAAAGGCCTGCCCTACTATTTATCATCAGGGCAAATTCAGATATGTTACTAAGCCAAGTCTCAATAAGTATATTGTTGTAGTGTGTTGTCCACTCAATTCTCTCATATTAAAAAAACCAAACCCACTGCCATCACTGGTAGCATAGTGCCTAAGGCATTTGACTGCTAACTAGAAGGCTGCCAGTTCAAACCCACCAGCCACTCCTCGGAAGGAAGATTGGGCAACCTACTTTTGTAGTGATACTGCCTCAGAAACCCAAGGAAGGGTCACTGTGACTCGGATCCAAATCAACAGCAGTGAGTTTGGTTTTGGTTTACTGCCATCAAGTTGATTCTGACTCATAGCGACCCCCACTGAGTTTCTGAAGTGGTAAATATTTTTCTTTCTTTTTTTGTGAGTTGGGTGAAAGTTTACAGAGCAGATTCACTTTCCATACAGCAGTTCACATATACTTTGTCTCATGACATCGACTGCAATTTCCCACAATGCAACAGCTCCCCTCCACTTCCTCCCCATAGTTACCTCTTCCCTGTGTCCTTCCCTCCATGCACTCCTGCCCCCAGTGCTGTCTCCCTGTGCATGCCCTTCTATTCTCCCAGGATTGATCTCTCCAATGTAAATGTTCAGCTTATCTGCCTGCCTTTTGTTTGGCTGGAAGCCACAGGAGTGGATTAAATTACAGACCTGAAGGGCAGCTAGGGAACATAGTCTCAGTGGTTCCATCAGGTTCTATCAGACCAGCAAACCTGGTCCTTTTTTTTTTTTTTAACGATTCTGAGTTTTGTTCCTCATTATTCTCACACTCTATCTAGGATCCCCTACATAGAGCCCCCTCTGAGTGGTTGACAGTAGTAGCCAGGCACCATTCAGTTCTTCTGGTTTCATAGTCATATAGGCTGAGGACTGCATGGTGTACCAGTCCCTTGGACTAATTGTTTTCCATGCATCTTTGGTTTTCTGTATTCTTCTTTGCTCTGGACAAGGAAAGACCCAACGATGCATCTAGATGTCTGCTTGCAAGCTTTTAAGATCCCAGTCGCCACTCACCAAAGTAGGATGTGAAACAATGTTTTCGTGTAGTATGTTATGCCAATTGAGCTTGATGTCCTCTGAGACTAGGGTCCTAAGGTGGTGAACCTTTAAAGAAGTAGATTGCCCCCTCTTCCTTCTGCAGAGTGCCTAGTGGGTTTGAACTGCCAACTCTCTGGTTAGCAGTCAAACACCTTAGGCATTATGCCACCAGAGCTCCACACTGGCTCTCAATGACCCTTTAAGGACAAAGGAGAAAACCAGTAGGTTTAATCTTTTTTTCTTTTCTTTTTTTTTTTTTTTTTTTTTTTTTGCTAAGATTTGTGAACACTTTATTTGTAAATTGTTTCAATAATCAAAAAATGCAAAATTTTACTCATGTCTCTCAAATCTAATGGGTCCATGTTGTAAGGATTAAATGCAAGGCTCATGACATATTAATTCGTATGGCCACATGGCCAGCCTTGAGGAAGGGCTGCCCAAACCTTGAGCCTGGGTTTGAAAGAGACAGAGAGGCAGCCAAGCAAAGTTCTTCTGTCTTCCTCTCTTATTCTCCCTGCCTTTTCTCTCCTAGTGGAGCCTCTGGTGACTGTGTATCCTGTGGGGACTCAGTCCCTACTGTACCACAACCTCCTGGACTGCTCTGTGAATGGTGTCTATGCAGGCCACATGGAAGTCAGATGGTTTCAGAACGGCCAGGAAGAGGAGGCTGGGGTCTCCACAGGCCTGATCTAGAATGGAACATCCTGGTGATGCTTGAAGCCATTCCTCAGAGTTGTTGTTGTTGTTGTTGTTATGTGCCATCGAGTCGGACCCGACTCATAGCGACCCCTCCTTGGGTTTCCGAGGCAGTATCACTACGGAAGTAGATTGCCCCATCTTCCTTCCAAGGAGTGGCTAGTGGGTTTGAACCGCCAGCCTTCTGGTCAGCAGTCAAGTGCTTTAGGCACTATGCTACCAGAGCTCTCCTCAGAGGTGAGAGGTTTACTCCTGCCAAGGGAGCACCCAAGCCTGAGGAGCCCTCTCACAGTGGAATGGAGTGAGAAGCTATCTGACCTCATAAATTCCTCACTCACCAAGAATGGGGACTTTGCTTATCCCTGAGTGTCATGTCCCTCTTCCCACACTGTATTTTCATTTGCTCTTTGTTCTTCTCTCCTTTAGCACTTTAGCTCTATCATTGTTCCCACAAATACCTATGCCCCTGAGGAGCAATGGATTTAATCTTTACTGGAGCATATCACCAGGTCTTTTCTCCTGAGGACAGTTAGGTCTACCTTGTACCACCAGAGCTCCTGACAGCTGCATTAGACTCAAACCAAACCAAAAAACCCATTACCATCAAGTCAAATCTAACTCACAGCAACCCTGTAAGGCAGAATAGAACTGCCACAGAGTTTCCAATCCTGTAATCTTTAGAGAAACAGACTGCCACATCTTTCTCCTGTGGAGTGGGCTGGTGATCCCTGACCTTCCAGTTAGACACCAAGCTGCTTAACCACTGGCTACTAAGATCACACCCAGGGAATATATATTCTACTGCTTCCATTTCATTCAGGAATCTTTTAAAAAATTGTTCTCAGCAGGGAGAGGAGGGAAAGGAGGAGGAAGCATGCTCTAGATACTAAATACTTATTATTTTTGATAATGGGAAAAGAGGCAACAAATGTGAGTATAGTGAGCACAGCAAGACCAAAGTCAACGATGCCTCTGAGATACACGCATGAGAAAAAAGGATGCCTGTTTCAAAGAATTTGACATATATAAGAGAGTAACATCTCCAACAAAGAACAGAAAACGAGCCTAGGATCACATGTTGTTGTTGTTGCTAGGTGCCAGTGAATCATCTCCAACTCATGGAGGCTCTATGTACAGCTGAACAAAACACCACCGGGTCCTGAGCCAGCCCCCCAATCCTTGCTATACCTGAGCCCATTTTTGCAGCCCCTGTGTCAATCCATCTTGTTGAGGGCCTTCCCCTCTTTCATTGACCTTCCACTTTACCAAACATGATATCCTTCTCCAGGGAATGGTCCCTTCTTACAAGCTCTGGTAGTGTAGTGCCTAAGGCATTTGACTGCTATCCAGAAGGCTGGCGGTTCAAAGCCACTAATCACTCCTCAGAAGAAAAATCAGGCAATCTACTTCCATAGTGATACTGCCTCAGAAACCCAAGGAGGGGTCACTATGAGTCTGATCAGACTCAACGGTAGTGAGGGAAAAGGGACAACAGGACCAAAATAGGTGAGACAAAGTCTGGCCATTCTCTCTTCCAAGGAGCATTCCGGCTGCACTTCCTCCAGGACAGATTTATTGGTTCTTTTAGCAATCCATGGTACTTTCAGTATTCTTTGCCAACACCACAACTCAAGAGCATCAACTCTTCTTCAGTCTTCCTTACTCCTTTTCCAGCTTTCATATGAATATGAGGTGACTGAAAGTACCATAGCTTGTGTCAGGTGTACCTTCAAAGAGATATCTCTCCTCTTCAGCACTTGAAAGAAGTCTTTTGCAGCAGATTTGTCCAATGCAATACATCATCTGATTTCTTGACTGCTGCTTCCATTGATATTGATTGTGTAACTAAGTAATATGAAGTCTTTGACAAGTTCAATCTTTTCTCCATTTATTGGGAGGCTGCTTATTGGACAAGTTGTGAGGATTTTTGTTTTCTTTATATTGACGCGTAATCCATACTGCAGACTATACTCTAAAATCTTTATCAGTAAGTGCTTCAAGTCATCCTTACTTACAGCAAGCAAAGTTGTGCCATCAGCACTGTGTGTCACAGGTTGTTAATGATTCTT